ACGCACACACACACACACACACACACGTCAGGTCAGACAGTACGCCGCCGCGAGCCGCATCTCTTCTCCACTAAACTCAAACACACTTAACATCATATATCTAAATATACTCATATTCAAGATACAGGCTGTGAAAAACAAGTCTTAAAGGGACAGCTCACCCAACAATTATCATCATTTACTCGTTTTTATGTTGTTCCAAACCTGTATTTGAAGAATGTTGGTTCTCAAACGGTTTCGGCTCCCATTGACTTCCATTATATGGACAAAAACACAACGGGAACTGAAACTGTTTGGTTCCCAACATTTTTCTAAATAACTTATTTTATGTTCCACAGAAGAAAGAAACTCATAGAGGTTTGGAGTGACATTAGGGAGAGTACATGATGACAGACTGTCCCTTTAATATCCGACACAGAGTTTCTTCTTTCTTTGGTTATATCAGCATTTATCAGAAACAACATCCAAGATGATCGCGGTTACCTGCGCATTTGGTGCGGGCTCTCAGCGGCGGCCCCGGGGCCCCGGTTCCTCCCTCCAGGGGCCGCGTCAGCAGCACGCTGATCTCGTACTCCGTGTCGGGGTCCAGATGGCCGATCTTGTGCGAGGTTTTATCGACGGGCTGCAGGTCGTACATGGTGCCGGAGACGGTGCGGTACTCCACCTCGCGGTTGATGATGGGCCCGTCTCCGTTGATGGAGTTCGCATTGAGCTGGATCCAGAGATATGTGGCCCCGACCGCCATGAGCTGAGGAGGAGCGATGGGAACCGGCGGCTCTGAGAGAACAGACAGGACATTTAACATGAATAACAGTGGAATTACAGCAAAACATCAGCCGTTTAAACTCCAAACCAAGAGTTTATAATCCATAATAACACTTCCTCCAGTGAAAAAGTGCATCTGCTGTTGTCTCTCACATCAAAATCCAGCCACATATTTGTTTAGACCAGAACACTTTTTCACTGGAGAAAGCGTTATTATGGATTATGAACTCTATGTATTTGAGTTAAAAGCGTCTTAATGCTGGATTTGTTTCAGCTTTTGTCTTCTCCAGATGTTAACTGATGGACTGGAGTGCTGTGGATTACTTGTGGATTATTGTGATGTTTTTATCAGCTGTTTGGACTCTCATTCTGACGGCACCCATTCACTGCAGAGCATCCATTGCTGAGACACTGATGCAATGCTGCATTTCTACAAACCTGATGAAGAAACAAACTCATCCTGATCTCAGATGATCTGAGGATGAGCACATTTTCAGCACATGTTCATGTTTGGCTGAACTATCGCTTTAAGATATTAATAGTTTTCTGAAAAGTGAATCAAAATGAAATGAGTTTATCATATCTGCCAGTGGGGCCAGAAAAATTAAAACTTAATTCAAAAAGAAAAAAACTGTTATTTTTCTGACCCACCTGACAGAGTTTTTTCTTGTTTTCAGCAAAAACTCACTAATTTTTGATGCATTTCTCAAAAAACAAGTCATTTTGCATCTCCTCTTGATTTAAGAATGTTTAGATATTTGTGCTGGAAAACAAGACAAAAATCTGAGTATGAAAATAATTATTAGCAGTGTGACAGTTTTCAAAATCTTTTGCATGTGCAATAACTGTATCTTCTTTCTTTTCTTTTTTTTCAAAACAAAATGTCACATTGCTGTTTTTATCAGCTCGTGTCTTTAAAACAGAAATAACTGAGAATGTCAGCACGTTCTCCTGAATGAGCCTCTCTCCATCTAATGCTGGAAGGACTCAGCGATTCATGTGAATCATCTCTCAAGAGTCCTCCAGAGTCTTTTTGTGCAGCGAAATAAATATAGCACCACTGTGATTCATTTCTATAATTTAATATCAATCAATAAATAAAATAATTTCTGTATATCAAACTGTAACTCATGATTCTAGCAGCGCTGAGATCAGTAGTTTGATTCCTCGCCAATGCATGAACCGAAGAAAATCTACAGCTTGTATGCACTATAAGTCATATGGATAAAACCATCTGCCAAATGTATATTTATATTAATTTACATGTTAGTCATAGTGTAAACTGTGTAGTGTACATTTCAAAAAGACCAGAAGTTCTTTTTTTTTTTGCCAGATATAGACTGCTTTATACTTTCTAAATACTTTCTACTTATTTTTAAAATAAATTACATATAGTCAAATAAATCTATAAAAAGACAAAAATCTGTCATAAAAAAAAAAAGGTAGATGCCCTTTTATAAACAACAGCATCTTGTTCACACTGAGTGCAGATAATCATAATAATAATAATAATAAATCAGATTTATAGTGTGTGAGTTTGATATTGTTTGCGGTTGGTCTGATATGAGTATTGATGAAGACATGAAACTGATCACACGCTCTCGTCTACAGAGTCTCACGCCTGCGGCGCCAGCAGCTGAAATACAGACACCGACAGAATATGAGCTGAGGAATAAAAGATCAGCGTTCATATTTACTGCAGAGACGCACGAATCAGTCAGACGAGACAAACACAACGGAATGAAGAAACATTGTGATTTTTATTGTGTATTTTTTATGTTTTAAAAATGTTTTAATCTAATTAATTACACAATATGCTGATTAATTAATCAAATTAATCTCGTGTGCCGATTAATTAAAGTCATTATTAAAGATAATTGAAAGTCATTAGGCCTATTGTGGTAAATTAGAAAAGCACTGAATAGACATTGCAACAAAAAAAAAAGTAGCTTAAGAAAGAAATATTTTGATTCAACATACAAAAACATAAATATACTGTATTATATATTATAATTACTACTCTAAATATAAAACAAAAAGAGCCAGTAGGTGGCGGCAAATCGCTGTTTTAATGAGTGAGCCATTTAGTCATTCATTCAACCGATTCGTTCAAACAGCTGATTCATTCAGAAGCAAAGCCACTTCCTGCATCCCAATTCGCATGCTATCCGTCCTAAATAGTATTCGAAATTAGAATTAGTATGTCCCAAATCGTAGTATGTTGTTTACTGCTTCCGGTAGAAATTCGAAGTGCAGATCCGCGCACACTCTAACGGCTAATATTGCCCACAACACATTGCGCGGTGGACGAGGATACGATTAGAACTACAAACACGCATGAAAAGTGTTAAAAAACTACAAACATGACAGATATGTGAGACCTACGGACAGGTAGAGAAAGGGGTTGGAGTGATAAATAATCAATAACTGATGAAAAAATATTTATTTTATGTTATCCGCGTTATATTGCATCTGCAGCAACACTGTGAACTTCATAATGCTATGTTCGGTCATTAACTTTTAAATGCATCATTACGCAAACACATGAGCGGTGTTCTCGGTATGATAGACCCGCGACTGACAGATTAACGTGCCTCTTCATTTCTCTCCAATACGGTAGAAAATTAAATTAAACGAAATATGGATAATGTTAACTTTGACAAGATGATTGACAGGTCAGTTTAAACTGTGACAGAATGCACGTAACTAAGCAACAGAGCGTCCGTTAAAGATGCAGTTCTGATGAAGTAGTTTGTCCCAAAGCTTGCCCACTATTCTGCTACATACTCAAAAGTATGTATATATTACTCGACTGAATCTGCACATGAATTTAAGAAAGTGTTCTTGCTCCGTCCAAGCAACAAATGTCTTTGAATGCGCGAGATGATCGATTTCAGAGGCTGCCAAGTTTAATTTATTATTATTACAGTTTAAAATTAGTCAGAGCTATGCATCTTTATATTTACAAGTAAATCTCCATATCATGCATAGGCTACTTTCTTAAAAACTTATACTTTATTATATATATTATAGTTTATATACTATAACTGTTATAGTGTTTAATAGTAAATAAAGCTTATTAATAGTAAATAAATAAAGTTAATTTCAGTCATTCTTTCCAAATGAATCAAAAATAGCATGATTAGCGTCACAAATGGAATCCTCTCATTACACGTGCGTTAGTGAACTCTTCCGTTACAGTAAGAAATTACATTTGCTAAAAGCAGAGATCCAGTACGTGTTTTCCACAGTCGAGTGTGTTTGTGACAGACGCAGAGGTGTGTTCATGTTCATGTGTGTCTGTGACTGCAGATGGACGTCCCTCCGTCACCCCTCGAAATACCCATAATCCTCCACGGCCCAGCTGCCAATTAAACAGCACCTCAAACGAACCGCGTAATCCTGACGCCACAGTCCCAGCGGGACAGAAGAAGAGAGACAAATATCAGACCGTCCTGATGAACCTCGCTCTTCACCGGCCGGCCGGCTCACTTTCTGTGTCATTCAGGCTTTGTCTGTAAGTTTAGAAAGATATTGACCTCTGACCTCATGAATAAAGAGAAGCGCGTCTGAACTCTGTAATTACACACAGCATAAACACACTCAATGTGAAGAACAGGCGTCACGTTCGATTCGTTCACCAGAATGTGCTGAAGCCTCGTGATAATCATGCTAGAATGTAAGATAGCGTAGTCGTCCTAAAAACAGTATTTAAAATATCTAAAATATATATAAATGTCTCTATTTAAAATATAATTTCTTATCATTGTGGAGAGAACTTTTGTAATGTTTTATAGCATGTTTATTAGAAAAAATATTTAGTATATTTTAAACTTTATACTTAATTATAATTTTTTTATATATTATAGTATATTTTAAACTTTAGTGCCTTTTATACTTTTTATTAATTATTATTATTTATTGTTTATATTAATTATGCCTTTACTATGTTTTACTTATATTTTATTATATTATACTATTTTTTTTTTTCTTTTCCTACTTAAGTATAACTTTATAGTATATTTTAACCTTTCATGCTTTTTATACTATAACTTTTAATGTTTTAAAGTACATTTTAAGCTTTTTATACTTTTCATGCTCCAACTTTTGAAATGTTTATAGTATATTTTAAAATTGTATACTTTTTTACTTCTCATACTTTTATAATATGTTTTAAGGTATTTTTATATTTGTATATTTTATACATTTATGTAATTAATGAAGCTTTTAAGAGAACATGTGTGAAATGTACAGGTCATATTTCTCTATCTCTCTATGTGTGTGTATGTGAGTGAGTGTGTGTGAGCGAACGAGCGAGCGAGCGAGCGAGCGTGCGTGTCTGCACTGACCCGCGGGCCACAGATCTCCGCTAACAGGCTGTCTGATGCAGCGGCGCGAGGCTGGGCTTTATAGAGACATCGGTCACGCGCGGAGCGACACGAGCTCCTCACATCATTCACACACACCACAGCTTTTTCAGCTGATCTGATGGAATCAAACGCGTCGGCAGAGACGTCAGTAATCTCACACGTGTCTCCTGGAGAGTTTCTGAGATCTCAACAGTGTCTCTGTGCTTACCATCTCAAAGCCTACATGAGGTGGACTCAGCATTTGTAACTGTAACTTTGTGTAAAGTTCATAAATGTTAATAATGATTATACAATTTAAATGAAATAAAATTATAACAAAATTTAAATATAGTATAAAACCTAATGAAAAGTAATAGTATGAAAAGAATAAAAATGCAAAGTATTTATAAATAATAATAAGAGTACAAAAGTTTAAAATGTACTGTAAAACAGTATTTAGAAGGTTATAATATAAAAAGTGTAATACATTTGGAAAATATAATAAAATATAAGATATAATATTAATCTTACATTAAAAATATAAGAACAAAAAGTTTAAAACACACTATAAAACATTATAAAAGTTAAAGTATAAAAAATTAAAAATATATAAAAGTTATCTTAAAAATAGTAAAAATATTAAAAAGTATAAAAATAAAAAGTACGTTTTACAATATAAGTATAAATATTTTACAATTTACTATTTGACATAAAAGTATTAAAAAGTATTTAAACAATTAAAAAGTATAAAATATACATATTTCTGACTGTCTATATATAACATGTTTTACAGTATGACATTGATAATATAGAATAAAACATTTAAAAAAGTTCTAAAATAATAAAAATTGTCTTCACATTTTATATACTCCTATAATATTTATAATCATAAATATTATAAAAATTATAAAAGTTATAGTATAAAAACATAAAAATGCGTATGAAAAGTTCTAAATATACTAAGAAACATTGCAAAAAATATAAAATTACAAAAATGAAAAAGTTTTGTTTTATAGCTCTACAATCTAACTCGGGAATCAATGCTGTACTGTTTCATGTTTAGATGTTTCTACTGGAAAACGACAAGAACAAGAGGAACATCATTTATTTGCAGTGCATTAAATGTCACACAGGGGCGTGTCTTCTGGCCTGAGGGCGGAGCCTCTGAACGTGATTGACAGCTCTCTATCCGGAAAGGCGGGATTATAGCGATCAATCACATAAAGCTGTGAGGTAAAAACTACAGGAACATAAATTCAATTGAGCGAGAGAGACACAGAAAGAGCTGAAGAAATATCGAAGGCCATTACGGCGTCAGAGAGCAGAGAACGCCGAGGATTCAGATGCGGCCGGCGCCATAAATTCATATCAAATGACTGTTGAAGGGCTGCGTGGGACGGCGAACCCGTGAAAACATGGCTGCGGTCAAGGGCAGCTCTTACTGCCAAACACACGCGAGAGACATTAGCATAAAACACACATCAATCTCCTCAACAGACGCTTCAGCTTCAGCTCCAGCTCCATCCATCCATCTGTAGAGGAGCTGCATGCCGTCCTTCACACACACACACACACACACGCACATACTTACTCTCTCTCACACACACACACACACACACACACACATTCTCTCTCTCACAC